GGTTCCCTGCTCATTCCCTCCGGAGACATTTGCCCTAATAAAACCCTTGCGTGTTTATTCCCACCTTGGTGTCATCTTCTTATAAAACTTTTAAAACATCGGAACTCTTGGAATTAACTAAGAAACTCGAGTTAGCATGATGCAATCAAATGATTGTTTAAAAGTATCAATATTTACATGTGAAGCTTTTCTAAACGATTCTGCTACACATCATTAGCTGATAGCAAAACCAGAACCAGAAGCCAAGCCCATTGCCCTTGGTCAGTTCTGACTTGAGGGGAGGGCCCTTTAGAGGCTGTAAATCTATGAGAGCAGAGAGCCTCAACTTGGTCATGACCGGAACTAAGGGGTGAAACTCCTAGCTGTCTTCAGATTTAGTGCCTTTTACGTGGACTATAGGAGCCGTTCAGAATTCAGCTGCTAACTGAAGGTGGGGTTCATCAGCTGCTCTGAGAGAGAAGGCCTGGGGAGCTGCTTCCATAAGAAATAGAACCTACAAACCCCTCCAGGATCGCGAGGCTGCTCCTCGCTGTAGGGTGACTGAATCGGAATCAAGCCTGGAGCAACACCTATTTGAAGAATCAGAATCAAGGAGTTGTTTTTTTTTAAGTCATTTTATTGGGGACTCTTACAACAATCCATACAGCAATTGTATCAGTCACATTTGTGCATATGTTGCCATCCGCATTTTCAAAGCATTTTCTTTCTACTTGAGCCCTTGTTATCAGCTTCTCTTTCCCCCCCTCCCCCACTGCCCCACCCACATGAGCCTTTGATAAATTATAAATTACTGTTATTTTCATTTTCCAATGCTGTCTCCCTTCACCCATGTTTCTGTTGTTCGTCCCTAATCATTGAATTTTTTTAAAAATCATTTTATTGGGGCCTGGTACAACTCATCACAGTCCCTACATAATCCATTGTGTCAAACACATTTGTACATATTTTGCCATCATCATTCTCAAAACATTTGCTTTCTACTTGAGCCCTTGGTATCAGCTCATTTCCCCCTCCCTCATGAACCTTTGATAATTTACAGTCCCTACATAATCCATTGTGTCAAACACATTTGTATATATTTTGCCATCATCATTCTGAAAACATTTGCTTTCTACTTGAGCCCTTGATATCAGCTCATTTCCCCCTCCCTCATGAACCTTTGATAATTTATAAATTATCATTATTTTGTCTTGTCTTACACTGTGTGACGTCTCCCTTCATCCACTTTTCTGTTGTCTGTACCCCAGGGAGGAGACTATATGTAGATCCTTGTAATAAATTCCCCCTTTTTTAACGTGAGCAAAATGTCTAATTCACCAGGGTTCTGTCTCTGACTTACCCTTCAATCTAATTAAGGTCAAATAACAGACAGGAATGAGAAGATGATTCACATTTGTTGAGAACAAGTCAGTGGGGAGGGGAAGAGGCAGGGGAGGGAACTGGACAGGAGGGCATCGGGAATTCTTCAGGGACTCTAAGGTTCAACATGACACTACTAAGCCACGCTGTGGGGTGTTTTTAATGTACAAGAGAGAAGCAGACAATGTGCAGGTAGTTAAAAGTCTGAAACCCAAAGCCCTTGGGATCCAAGATATGTAACGTTTGCACACTAAGGAGCTGCAGAGAGAGGGAACAACCCTCCCCTCTGAGTCCAATTGCAAACTTGGCATGCCCAATACCTTGCTAGAGGAATTTACAGGACTCAATCCATGGCTTTGTAAGTAATGGCTTATTTTAGTGGAAGGATACAGATTAAGATCCGCCACAGGAAGGGACACACGGGCCAAAGTCCAGCTCCAAATGCCGTGGACAGGGTTCATGCTGCACAGAAACGATGTGTGACATTATACAAAGAATATTCCCAATCCAGGGACACTTAGCTGAGCCCTGGTGTCCGGAGTTTTTTGGGGGACTCCATTACATCAACATGGTTGATTGCCTGCGAGGCTGGCTCTAGGCCCCGGGTCTTCAGGTAAACAAAGATACTCTTGGCAGGACGGGCATTCCAAGGGTGTCAGGTTATAGCTCAGGACTTGAGGGCAAAGGCCTGAGCCCTCTTTGGGCAAGGCTAAATTCTGACTAACCAGGGGCCTTTTTTTTTTTTTTTTTAAACCTAAGTGGCACCCCTGACGTCCTTGGGTGGTCCCAACGATTTGCTCTGAGTTTTCACTAAAACGTAGGTTCTAATCCACACAGCAGTACCGTGGAAGAAAGGCCTGGCACCCTTTAATTCCTTGAGTGTAGTTGAAGATGCCAGGGAGTGCATTTCTGCCCTGAAACACACAGGGTTGGCATGAGTCAAAATCGAGACAGCAACGGAACATCCCGATTTCAGGGCAGTTGTGAAGGCTGAATGAAACATCGGATTAGAAAATTAGAGCTGAAGTTTGACCACCAGAACACTAAAGCTGGCAGTATAATTTTGTGCTTTATTTATATTATTTAAAACTGCAAATAATTGGAGTGAAAAGTGTCCATTTGGTTTCACATTTAAATTCATTGGTGATGTTGAGTGGTGTTGGAGGCCACTGCCCGGGCCCCAGTAGAGAATCTGAGTAGTTGGGGAGATGACATGCGGACACTTGAGAATTCGGCTATTTAAAATTGGTGTCACGTGAGAGGGAAGTCAGGGTATAGCTAGATGGGGTGCACAGCTGAGGAATGAGCTCTGGGGAAGCATCTTTTAGAAAGACACCTTTGGAACATTTGCCACACAGCAACTGTGTGCTATTGTAGTAAACATTAGCTCATTTACTTCTCATTTTGCCTTGAAGTAGGTCATCAGTAAAGATCCTGTGTACTGACGAACACCTGAGGCTCCAGTTGGGTTACATTGGGAGGGAAATGTGGATGATAGCGCCCTGGTGGCGTAGTGGGTTATGCATTAGGCTGCGGAAGTTAGAAGCCACCAGCTGCTCTGAGGGGCACAGACGGGCTTTCTACTCCCAGAAGACTGGTCTCAGAGCCCCAGAGGCAGTTCTTCTCTCCCTCTGACACAGTTGGAAGTGACTTCATGGACGTTAGTTTGCTTTGTTTTACTCTGTACTTGGATTACAACTCAATGTAAAAAATACCCCAAATTTTCACAACTCTGTCAGTAGGTCGCATCATGATAAACAAGAGTAAAGATCGAAGCTGCCAAGGGTTTTGTCTTGCTAGGACCCACAGTGAGTGCTCGTGGAAATGGCGGTCAGGAGATCAGGAGATGGCCTGCATTGGGTGAATGTGCTGCACATGACTTCTTTAAAGGTTGAAAAGCAGGAAGGTTACTTCGAGGACTAAGGTGCATTTGACCTACGTCACATCTCTTCTTATGCACGTGAAAGTCGGACACTGGAAAGGAAGACTAAAGAAGAATCGATGCATGTGAATTTTGGTGCTTGGAAGACTTGGGAAAGCACCATAGACTGCCAAAAGAACAAAGAAATCTGCCTTGGGAGATAGATAGCCAGACTGTTCCTCAGTGGTAAGGATGGCTAGACTTCATCTCACATACTTGGGACATGTTCCCAGGAGAGACCAGGCCCTAGAGGAGGACTTCAGACTTGGTCAAATAGTGGTGGTTGTCACGTGTCATCGGGTCGGCTCTGACCCAGAGCGCCCTATACACAACAGAAGGAAACACTGTCTCATCAATTAAGCTAGCTTGGTTCTAAGAGGATTACAGGGAATATTTTGGTTTGAGTGGTTCTTCCAGCCTACATGACTATAATGTCTCGATCTCGTGAGATTTAAAAATTGTTCTTCTGTTTTTCCCCAACAGTTCTATGGGCACATAATTCATGTATCATACAATTCAATAGTGCAATCACATCAAGAAGAGTTATACAGTCTTCACCACAATCAGTTTTAGAAAATTTTCCTCAATCTTGTATCCATCACTGTTAGCTCCCCATTTCCACCAACGTCCTCTGCCATGCCCCCAAGGAACCATTAATCCAGTTACTGTCTCCCTAGACTTTCCTACCCAGGATTTCATATATAGAAAACTTTGAAAGCAAACAGCAACAAAAATCTAACAAGAATAGCAAAGTACAACAGATAAAAACCTCAGTCCAAAAGAAAGAAAGTTGAAAATATTAAAAACTAGAAAAAATTTAAATGGATCCCATGAGATATTTGGCTGTACATTAGCAATACTGGTTGTTTTTCTTAAATCATTTTATTAGAGGCTCATACAACCCTTATCACAATCCGTACATCAGTTGTGTAAAGCACATTTGTACATTCATTGCCCTCATCATTCTCAAAACATTTGCTCTCCACCTAAGCCCCTGGCATCAGCTCCTCAGCAATACTGTTTTTTGCTTGTGTTTGTGAAGCCCCCTCATGTAGTCTGAAGAAATTTTCTCTCTAGATAGCTTGTCTCTTCACACTTTTAAACAAACTTTCCATAAAAGATTTTTTTAATGAGATATCATTTATCTACTTTGTCTTGTGCTATTTGTGCTTATGTTATTATAGTAGTTAATCTACTGGTGAAAGCTATTAATCCTGTATCTTTTAATAATTGTATGGTTTTAATCTTCAACAGTTAGCTCCTTAATCCATTTGGAATTTGTTTTGTAAGTGATGTGAGGCATGGCTCTTGTTTCATTTTTCTGCCTGTAGGAATCCAATTCTCCCAATATTTGTTGAAAAGAATCTTCATGCCCATCACAAGGGCTTAGAGTATTTGTCAAGCATTAGTTGGCAAATATATGTGTGAGTTTACTTCTGGACTCTCAATTCTGTTCCATTGGTCTACATATCAGTTGTTATACCAGAATTAGGCTGTTTGAGTACTGTAGCTTTACTATATATTGCAACATCAGAAATGTGTTTTGTGTCTTCTTTAAAAATTGCTTCCCCCACCCCAGCCATTTACTTGTTGCATTGAAAGTAGGATTTAGATGTGTACCTACCCAACTGAAGTAATACTTTTGCATTAAGATAGGCTTACTCATTGGCTTATGCTGCATTCTTTTGACTTTATGCTTTATTTTGCTTTTGAATTCCAGAACTACCCAAACAGCCGCTATGTCGAGCAAAAGGGCAAAGACCAAGACCACCAAGAAGCGCCCTCAGCGCGCAACATCCAATGTGTTTGCCATGTTTGACCAGTCACAGATTCAGGAGTTCAAAGAGGCCTTCAACATGATCGACCAGAATCGAGATGGCTTCATCGACAAGGAGGATCTGCATGATATGCTTGCCTCCCTGGGTAACAGTCCATCTTAATATTAGTGTATTAGCTGGAATTCTTCCGATGCCTTTTATGTTTTTCTCATATGCCTTAAAGGAGGATCTGCATGATATGCTTGCCTCCCTGGGTAACAGTCCATTTTAATATTAGTGTATTAGCTGGAATTCTTCCGATGCCTTTTATGTTTTTCTCATATGCCTTAAAGGAGGATCTGCATGATATGCTTGCCTCTCTTGGTAAAGCTTTTAAGCCTTCATATTCCCACTTCCTAGGAATAATAATTCATCTCTTTAAGGCTCATGTTTTGTGTGTTGCTCACATATCCATCTCATTTAGTTCAGAAGGCCTACTGAGAGATTTCAGAGTTCAGGGAAGCCATGTTGGGGATTGGTCAGTCCTAAGGTGGGATGGAACTGCGGGGGGTGCGGGGTGGGGGGCAGGAGCAGTGGCCAGGTAAGTTGACACTGTAGATACTGTAGGCCTATCAGGTAGAAAGCCAGGAGATGTCTAAATAGCAGTATGTCAGAATTTCAAACAAAATTACAGTTCATAATGCCAACAGTCAGTAATGGTAATGAGTAAGAATGGTTGTGTCTGGGGAGGGAAGGCCGTTCTAGTAGAAAGGGTACAAAAGGGAGGGACTTCTATAAGACATCGGATTTAAGCAAACCTAATTGCCACTTGTTATTTTGAGTCAAACAAGCTTACTACCAGTGAGGCACTGCCGACTCAGAGCAACCCTGCAGGGTAGGTAGAACTGCTCCTGCGAGGTTCCCAGGCACTGTAATCTTTACGGCAATAGAGAGCCTTGTCTTTCTCCTGAGGAGCAGCTGGTGGTTTTGAACTGCTGACCTCTAAGATCGCAGCCCAACACGTAACCACTAGGCCACTGGGGCGCTGTTATTTAGAGCACATAGGTATTAATTTATTATTCCCTTTATGGTTCTAAAGGTTCCCTGGTGGCATGGTGGTTAAGCACTTTGCTGCTACCCAGAGAGCCGGTAGTTCAATCCCACCTGACTCTCGGGAGAAAGATGTGGCCATCTGTGTTGGTAAAGATCGCAGCCAGGGAAACCCCACGGGGCAGTTCTACTCTGTCCTGTTACCTAGTGCTGCTACCGTGCAAAATGCCACAAGGGGGTGGTGGTTAATAAACGTAAGCTCTCCCAGTTTAGGAGGCTTTACACCCAAATTCAGAGTCCTGTTCTAGGGAAAGACTCTCTGTGGACTGGAGGAAAAGGCCTTGTTTCCATTCAACGTCTGTGAGCCTGGCCGTCCTTGGAGATGTGCTTGTGTTTGACAGCGGTTTTCCTCTGGGTCTGGGGAGGTTCTTAGCACAGGGCCCCGGGGTCTAAAGGACACTCTCTACTCCTGGCCGCTTTTTCTTGCTGTTAGTCAGGTCCTTCTGCTCACGTCTCTTCTATAAAGGTGAAGCAGGCCATGCCCCCAGGAAATGCCCCTTACAGCCGATTTGGGCTGTGGCCTGAGTGATGGTGTTGCCTCCCCGCCCCATTCCCTGACCGCTGATAGGCTGATCCCATCGTGAGGTGGTGATTACATCCTCACATAAATGCCCAATTGCACTATTGCATTCCTTACTCTCACACTACTGAGACTCAGGCCAGTGGCCACGTTGACACATACTTTGGGGCAGACACTAGTCACTCCGCGATGGCAGCAATGATTGGAATGGGCTCCTTGGCTTTTGTTCTTTTTGACACTGTTTTGATCTTAGAAGGGAGGGAGGGAGGGACCTCAAGGTTCTCCATCTTCTGCCCAGAATCAGCACGGATTTCACAGTTGGGAATAAAGGAATGTCAAGCAAATTAGTCCTTAATAGGTCACAGCCACTGGAGCTGACAGCTGGGGAGGGAGCCTGCAGTCAGGAGCTGCATACGGGAAACTGCTTGGTAATTAGCCAGAAAGGGTAACATGGGAGGAGCAGAGGGCACAAGAAGGGATTTCAGTAGTCACAAAACCTTTCGCTGGAATTTATTCTCTTATCTTTTCTTTTCGCTAACATATTTTGAAAAACCCCAAGCATGCAAATGTGGGAAGAACAGCATCATGAATGGACGTCTTTAGTCAGCGCTTCCCGGTCTTGCTCGTGTTCAGAGTCACCGTCAGAGAGTACTCTTTGGGGCCGGTTACCGTAGGAGGAGGAGAATTGAGGGATTTAGCTGCATTTTAAAAATTGAACATTCTTGCTCAATAAGTGCTCATAGTAGATGCGCATTAAGTATTTATTGAATGCCCAGTGTTGGTCGACGAATAAGAGGCCTGTTTGGGAGCCTTCTGTTTGGGGGACCTCCTTCAATACCTTCAAAGATACGCATGTACCTTTCAAATTTACAAACTATGAAGGGGCTTCAAAAACTGTAGAAAAATTTCATTATCTGTACAAACTTTTTAAAGCCCCTTTGTATATTGGGTCCCTGGAGTGAGCCCATAGGTGCTTAGCCTAGACCGGGTAATTTTCACTCCCCTTCTCTGGGGACCTTTGGGTTGTTAGGACAGCCTGGGTTGTTAGTGCGCCTTCCTCCCGCTCCTGCCCTTCTCTTTAGCTACTCTGACTGATTCAGTGAGTTCTGAGATTAGTTTGGGACTGTTTGTATTAGTATGTTGAATGAGTGTAATGAGATAGGATTTATTTAAATTGTACTCAACTTCCAGGATCAATTATATATGAACTACAATTCTAGATTTGACTGTCATAAGCTCAGTGGAGTGTGGTGCTGAGATGCTTACTTGAATACGAATATCTAAATTCAGATGTTCTTTTCGTGCAGAATCATACTGATCAGTGGTGGAAGGTTCCTTCAGGCACCAAGTTCAGCCAGTCGGTGTAGAGATGAAAGGACACCGGCATAGCCAGGCGTAGAACCAGGAGTGAGGGGAAAGTTCTGTGCTGCGGTTCCCACACCGTGGGGCTCCCAAGTAGCTGGAGCACTAGGTTGTCCTTTGTGACTGTGAGTGTACCTGTCATTCTAAGTGGCTATCTCTCATCTTAGAAGGGAGGGGTCTAGACAGTGTCACCACTAGACTGGCATAGAGAGAAGTACTCCTTCGGAACTGCACTTAAAATCTGCCGTTACGAGTGACCCTAAGATTACTTGGTGGCATGTGTGAACAAAATTTGGGGATTGATTTGACAACCTATGAATTTCCATAACATTTCAAAAGAAGCCCTAATGTAAACCCACCTAATAGCTTTAACCTAAATAGCTTACTTACAAGTAAAAAATTTGAGACTCAATGATTTCCCGAGCAAATATACCGCAATAGAACAGATGGCTATTTAGATATTTTAATGATTGGCATTGCAATGACCCCTCTGGCACACCTTTTTGTTGTCCACATTCAAGATGTAATGCCTGGTACTAGTGGGTTCCTAATTTCAGGTATTTGGTTATGTTTTTAATGAAAAATAGTGACGGGATATTGACAGTAAGTACCATTCACCTAAGCCCAGCCTCCATGTTTGTAGGGATGCATCAGAGACCTTTAAAGTTGTCAAAACTTGTCTTTTAAAAATGTTTTGAATGCAAATCATAATGAAAAATTAATTTCATGTGACAGTGATGTAACTTTTTTAAAAAGTTGGGGAGCATAATAACAGTAGCAAAACGATTATTTATTGCGTGAGTTCTTTGCCCTGAAATGCTAACAATGGTGGACCTCTCTAGGGAAGAATCCAACCGACGCGTACCTGGACGCCATGATGGACGAGGCTCCAGGCCCCATCAATTTCACCATGTTCCTTACGATGTTTGGGGAGAAGCTGAACGGCACAGATCCGGAAGATGTCATCAGAAATGCTTTTGCCTGCTTCGATGAAGAAGCAACAGGTGGGCGCTATCGTTTGCCTCTAACACAGCAAAACAGTTGCCATGTCTTTTTAGAAAATATCATTTGGAATGAACATTTAACATAAATATGAATAACATTAGGCATGCTCGTTTTTTCTGCAAATCCCTGGGTGGCACAAAGGGTTAAGCACCCAAAAGGGAGTTCCACCCCACCCACAAGTTCTTTAGAAGGCCTGCTTCTGCAGAGTCACAGGCCTGACACGGCTCCGGATAGCTCTACTCTGCACGCTGGGGGCAGCGAACAGCACCAGCAATGTGTTCCCTGTGGTATTTTAGAGCTTCAGCTTGGTTCTCCGTGTTTCCGCTCCTGCTTATTTATCTCTGTTTGCACTGTTGACTTCATCTGTTGTTTGTTGAAGCAACTTATATTAGAAATCATAAACCAAGTACAGAATTTGGTAGAAAGCATAAAGTGTATCTGATTGTCAAATCTTCAGAATGGTTTTTAGTTCTGTGTCGTGTGGAGTGTTTTCTTGGTTTTCAGAATTTGCAGCGTCGGTTTCTGAATGAATCTGTGGGTGGTACCATTTCACCTCACTTGCCGCTTCCTGGCCCTTGTTCACGTGCTGCTGACAGCTAGCCCCAATCTAAACAAACTAGGCTTGGTGACCTGTTCCTGTTACAGAAGCCCTCCTGAGTCCCTACCGGATTCCCCCCTCAGTGATTTGGGGTGGAGCTGGGTGGGAGGAAGTTGCTTTCTGCGTCCTTCACACACAACATGATTGGCACCGCGTGAGGGTTTCAAAGTGTGGGGGAGATTCCATTACCTTTTAATCCCATGCTTCTCAGAATCTTCTGAAAATGTCCCAGAGTTCTTTTGAACGTTGCCTGATTTAGACCTAGCATCAAAGATTTTTCAAAAATTTGTGCTCCTTTTCATGGAAAATGTATTTGGAGTCTAGAAACTGGCATTGCTCATCGCTACTGGTCGTAAAAAGAGTTTGAGAAATTGATGGACACCTCTTAAAAAAATTTTTTTTTCCCAAAGAAAATCATTACATTCCCACATTGCTCAGAATAATATGTGTAACTATAGTTGAGACCAATCATCTGTAAAATTATGTATGTAATTTTGTAAATTAATTTTTCATTATATACAATATTTTAAAGATTTTGTGGTTTACATATAAGTATAAGGCTATCTTACTGAGTTCTCCAATTGTTGAATATTTCTTTAGGCTGGACATGGGGATTCTAAAGATCAGGAATATACAGAATTATGCAGTCTGTTTTATATCTGAATGAATAAATACACCAAAGTGTAAATGTCAGTTACAGAGTTACAGCTAAGACTAGAGTTGATGTAATCAGTACTCATTAGATACTTCTGTATTATTTAAATTTGCTTCAAAGAGAATGCATTTATTAAAATTTTAAAAAGCCTTAGGATGTTTAAGTATCTATGGCAGTGGTTCTCAATTTGTGCATCGTGACCCCTTTGGGGGTTGAATGACCCTTTCACAGGGGTTGCTGATTCATAACAGTGGCAAAATTACGGTTATGAAGTAACAACAAAAGTAATTTTATGGTTGGGGGTCACCACAACATGAGGAACTGTATTAAAGGGTTGTGGCATTAGGAAGGTTGAGAACCACTACTCCATGAAATCCCTGTGAGATTTCAAAGGAGCTCTGGTAGATTAGTGGCTACAAGTTGAGCTGCTAGCTGCAAAGTCAGCAGTTTGAAACCAGCTCCAAGAGGAAGATGAGACTTTTTGTTCCCATAAAGATTTACAAAGGAACCCTGCATACGGTCCCCAGCTTATTTGGCCTACGGTCTCTTTCCAAAAAAAATTTACTCAGCGCCCCCATGGCAAATAAGAGCTTTTGTACTGTAACCTACAATCCCAGATACAATGTGGGCATCTGCTGTGGCAGCCCCTGGGATCATTCCTGGAGGCCTGTGTGCACACCGGGTGTCGGGCTGCCAACCCCAAGGTCAGCACATGGAGGCCACCTGCTGTTCTCCTGTAACGAGTTCCCATCTCAGAGACCCACGGGGACAATGCTACCTTGTCCTGTAGGGGAATTCGACTCCGAATGACTCCGTGACTCTGCATTGTTCCGGAGCCCCTGGAAGGCCATGTTTGCCACTTTGGGAAACAGCGAGGGTTGCCGTGGGTTGGAGTCCCTTGGGCCGTTTGAGATACTCCTGCAGCTGAGCAACACGGAGAACCTGGTCAATAAATAAAGTTCAAGGAGTTAAGATTCTGGGTATTTGGGGTTTTCTGGTTGTTAAAATAATGCAAAGGGTTTTCAAAAAGTTTTGGGGGAAATTCCATTATATTTCAATTCCATTTTTCTCATGAACTTTTTGAGCGCCCCCACTTACAACACTTCTTGTTTTGTTTTTAAAGTTAGGACTGAGGGATTAAAATTTCAAGTGTTAATTTCCCGCAGGGCTCTATTACAAATGATGGGATTCTATTTGCCCTTGTTTCCTATTTTGTTTGTATAGTTATGGCTATTCTGAAATACCTTCTAAGAACGACCTGGTTTATCACGGTGTTTGTGAGGTAGGAACCTTACCAGAGAGAAACAATGTCTGTACTGAGACCTGGGAAAACTAGGCCAGTCCCTGGGCCTCGTGAGACAGGAAGCGGGCACACCTGGGCAGGCTCCTCAGAAAAGGGGTGGCGAAGTTGAGCCCCAAACCACGTGTGCTGGGCAGCCCTGCCAGTGCACAGCCGCCCCGAGGGGTCAGCAGACACCAGGTCTTTCATCCGTGGAGCCGCTGGCTGGTGGGAGCTGCCAGCGTTGCAGTTCTGAGCCGAACTTCACTGTTGCCGCCCAGGTGCCGTCATTCTTGGTGCTCAGAATTCCTTGGCCGTGTGCTGGCTCATGTTTATCAGGCACTGCGTCTCATGCTTTCTCACCACATTCGTCACTTAATTTTCAATATTACTATCATCTCTCTCCATTTTACAGAGGAGGGAAGCTGAGTTTAGTTCATCTCCTCAGTACAACCTGGGAGGGGGCAGCCAGCACTGGCTGCAGACCCGGTTTGGCCCTCAGAGCCTGTGCTCAGCCACATCACCACCGCGCTGCCTCGGTGGCTCCCTGAGCCAGCGCCGTGCTCCAGACAGGGCTCCAGTAACTAGATTCCTCCCCACACGGGAAGCGATCACTGGCTTCAGAAGTCCTGGTGGGGCTTCTCACCTCCGTGGGTCTGATTGGCTGCATAGCTTGGAGTCAGAACAACACAGCACATCCTCCGGGAGTGGCAGTTTGGGATTTCAGAGTAGACCTGCAGTTCTTTTGTTGGAAATGGAAAATCCAGAGCTTGAGCTTCACCCTGTGCTCCTCCTTACTCAACCTGTACGCTCTGGAAGTTTCCTTTATGGCTCCGTCTCAATGAAATGGGTCGGTCCTCTTGTGAAAAGTTTCAGAGAGAGAGACACATACACGCACCCTGATTTAGAAATGAGCCATTAAAGTGCTGGGAATGTTATTTATTCTTCTTGTCTTCCAGGCACCATTCAGGAAGACTACCTGAGAGAGCTGCTGACGACCATGGGAGATCGCTTCACGGATGAGGAAGTGGATGAGCTGTACAGAGAAGCCCCCATTGATAAAAAGGGGAACTTCAATTACATTGAGTTCACGCGCATCCTTAAGCACGGAGCGAAAGACAAGGATGACTGAACGAACTTGCGCTCAAACCTTCCATTTACCTGGTCTTCCTCTTCGATTTCCACGACACCTTCCCCGGCACCCTGCTCTCATAGAACCTGTTGCATGCACTCAGCTCCACAGCTTTACCGGTTTGGGGATGTATTTATTCCAGGCCTCTCTGCCACTTAGCACCTGTATATTGAGTCTGGGAGTGGGGACAAGATTGTAAATTGTATTGAAAAAGAGATTATGAATAAAAATCAACAAACGTGAAATCCCAGGAAAATATATCCGTATTTCTGTTTTGCTGGATTTTTACATTTTTATATAATAAAAATGCTATTTTGAAATAAAGATGATGCTGACTCAAGTGGAATACAATGACAAGTTAAACAAGTGGTAGTTGGGGTAGGGTAGTCTTTTTTTCAGGTTTTTAACTTCATGTAATTAAAATTTAATCTCAACTTGATTTTTCCAGAACAGTGTTCTCAGAATTTTTAAGTAATTTGCAGTAAAAACTATAGCTATGCCTTTGTAAAAGTTTTGCACACTTCTGAGACATCAGATGTGAAGTGATTGCGTGGTCAATATAGGAAGTATCTGAGAAAACATTAAGCACTTTATTGCTGGAAGGTGAGGCAAAATTGAAGACAAGAGTAGTTACTGTTGACTTCTCGTGTGTGAAGCATTGACTCCTCCGACAGCCTGTGAGGGAGATACTTATTTGCCCTGGATTTCAAATGCGAACTGAGCCGACAGAGTCACTGTTACTAAAGGGGAAGGAGAATTCCAACCTAGGACGCGCAACTGAGAAACTGCTGTTTCCACCAAGAGGCACAAATGCCTGAAAGTCATTCATTTCCATTCGGTAATCATTGACATTTAAAATCATCGTGGAGTAATTTATATGAACCAAATTTGGGGGAATGAATTCCTGGCTTTAAAAAAACAACAAAAGGGGTTAACCTGTACTGTGGTTGGATGTTTAAATGTACTTCATGTAGATTGTAAGGAAAGACTGAAATATATTCAAAAGAGCTTCAAAACGTTTATGGGAAAATGGAATTAAAAGACTGACATTTTCCACCCCCATTTTGAAGTCCCCTTGTATAGAGGGGGCTACGAGCTCATTTAAACTTCAAGACTTCACACTAAGGGAATTGAGGGAGCCCATCCACAAAGGAAACCTGTGAAACAGGTTGCTTTCCGATGATCAACACCCACGCCCTTGCTAGGAAAGTGTTGGTGTTTAATCTTAGAATCTATGTATTTGCAGATTGTTTATGTGCCCTTATAGCTAGGTGCAGTAGGCAAATATCTTCATTTGTTGTCACGTAAATTTTTGTAGGCTTCATCTTTGGGCTGAGGAAGCACTTTAATGGCGTATCCCAAGATCCACAGTGCCCAAGCAATCACGTCTGTTATGTCCACGGCCCACAAGATGAGCAGGGCAGCGTCGTGCCTGCTGGGACAGTCGAGCCCAAGCTGAGAGGAGCAGAGCCAGGAGTGCCATCGCAAGTGCCCGCCAGCACAGGAATCCACAAACCCAGGCTGGAGATCAGCGGTGCGGGAAAGGGAAAAACAATAGCTTCGATCCTCATTGAACCAGGATTTATCGCTCACTGTTAAATACTGAGGAGCCCTGGTGGCGCAGTGTTTACAAGTGGGGCTGGTAACTAGAAGGTCAGCAGTTTGAAAGCACCAGCCGTTCCATGGGAGAAAGACTGGGAGGCCAGTTAGTCTCGGAAACCCACAGGGACAGTTCTGCTCTGTTAGAGGATTGCTATGAGTTGTCATCAGCTTCATGGCAGTGAGTTTGGTTTGGTGGGTTTTTAATTAGGTGCTGAGGAGCCATTGTGGCTGAATGGTTATGTGTTGGGCTGTGATCTACAAGGTCAACATTGTGAAACGACCAGACTGCTCCAAGGGGGAAAGGGCTTTCTACTACTGCGAAGAGTTAGTCTTGGAGGCTCACGGGGGCAATTCAGCCCTGTCCTACAGGGTCGTCATGGGTTGGCATTGGCTAGAAGGCAGTGAGGATTTTGTTTGTTCTAATTTTGTGCTGATGAAGTACTGGAAACACACCCATGCTACCAAATTTGGGAAACAACTGGCCAGCGGACTGCAAGAGATCCATATCTGCCCATTCCAAAGAAAGGTGACCTAAGAGAAGGTAGAAGTGATCTAACAGTATCATCAACACAAGATTTTGCAGCAATAAATACATAAGGAGCTGCCAGTAACTCAAGCCGGATGCAGAAGAGGATGTTGGACAACGGCTATCATTGCTGATGTCAGATCTTTGCTGAAAGTGGAGAATACCAAAAAGATGTGCACGTGTGTGTTAGTGACTATGCAAAAGCATTAGACTGCGGAGCAATAACATAATATGGATAACATTAAGAACAAATAGAAATTCCAGGGCAGTTCATCATGCTGATGTGGAACGTGTACATGGACCAAGGAGCAGCCCTTTAATGCAGACAGAGGAAGACTACGTGGCTTCAAATCAGGAAAGGTCCTTATCTGGGTTGTATCCTTTTACCATACTGTATGCTTAGCGAATAACCCAAGAAGCCTGGTTATATGACGAACGTGGCAACAGGACTTATTAAGAACAGGGCTTATTAACCTGCAATTCGCAGATGACACAACCTTGTTTGTTGAAAGTGAGGAGGATTTTAAGTATTGAGTACAATTCAATAAAAATAAAATAAAAATCTTCACAATTGGGCCAGTCGATAGCATGGTAAGACTGAAATCGTCAAGAATTTCATCTTGCTTGGATCCACAGTCCATGCTCATGGAAGCAGTGAAGAAATCAGACAACAGACCGCCTTGGGCAAACCTACTGCACAAGACCTCTTTTACGTGTTTAAGAGTAAGGATGTCTCTTTGAGGACCAAGTCGGTGTTTTCAGTCCCCACATTTCCATGTGAACATTAGATACTGAGTATGGAAGACTAGAATTGGTGCTTTTGAATTATGAGGCTGAAGAATAGCCAACGTGCCGTGGATTGCCAGAGCAAGCAGACCTGTCTTGAAAGGACAGCCTGAATGTTCCTTAGAAGAGAGAAGTGAGACTTCATCTTACATATTTTGGACACGTTATCAGGAGAGAGTCCCTAGGAAAAGATACGGTTGGTATAAAGTAGAGGCTCAACAGAAACGAAGACGCAACACGTTGGCTTGACACATCGACCCAACAATGGGCTCAATAGCAGTGGAGAAGACGACCCAGGACCAGGCAGTGTTCCCTCTGTCGTACGCGGGGCCATTGCGCGTCGGAACTGACTTGAAGGCATCTAACAGCCCCAGATTCCGGCTTCCCAGAGAAATGAAATGATCACGGGAGCAACACCACGAATTTCTGTTGCCGAGCAGTTCTAAAAACTCTAAGAGGTGGGTAACGTGAGCACGGATAGCCCATTTTATAGGTGAAAATACAGAACGAAGGGAGTTAACTGACTGCCTCACTTAGACAGCACCAGCCAGACCTTTTCCCAACATTCCCGATCGAGATAGGATGCTCTTTAGCAAACTTAGAATTCCCTAATTGAATAATTGGTATCTGTAGCATGACCAGGATCCCTACTAGTGTAATGGGTTACAAGTTGCACTGCTAACCGCAAGATAAATAGTTCAAAACCACCAACTGCTCTTCAGGAGAAAGATGAGGCTCTCTGTTCCCATAAAGCAGCTGTTCTCAACCTGTGGGTCGCGACCCCATTTGGGGGTCGAATGACCTTTTCACAGGGATCACCTGATTCATAACAGCAAAATTACAGTGATGAAATAGCAACGAAAATAATGTTATGGTTGGGGGGTCTCCACAACATGAGGAACTGTATTAAAGGGTCGTGGCATTAGGAAGGGTGAGAACCACTGCCATAGAGACTGACAGCCTCAGAACCCCACGGGAGCATTTCCACTTTGTCCTGTAGGGTCTCTAAGTCAGAACTGACTCAATAGTGCAGTAAGGAGTGTGACCAGAAGCCTTTTTCTTGTGCATTTATATATACGAAAGCCATTAACAGCTATTTTTAAGTTGTTTACTTACACATTTCATGAATTATCTTCTGTGGTAAAATAATTTAATGAAAGTGAATTTTTATATGCAGCAATATGCAAATATTCAAGTATTAAATTTTTTTATTGTAAACAATTTTGCTTCTGAAGTCAGGATGCCTTATAGTCAATGTGTATATTTGGTTTTGTCTGTTTTTACAGAAAAGCATTAAATCTATGTTGAGCCTCAAGATTAATGTCTTACAAGATCTAAAACTCAGTCTTTCAAGTCGCAATGACGAAAACATCTGATGAATCGGGCTCCATCCGAGAAGTCTGAATGAACTTGTCAAGGTGGTCACATCGGACATCTGAGTGAAGTTTTCTTGGAAAGGAAAAACGGTGATGGTCACAGACTGTACGCTGTGCTTACGTCTCTGGAAGTGGTTTTTTTTTGTTTTTTTAACAGAACAGGAAAGAAATGCAACTTCAGAGACGATACCCAGCAGCATCACTAGGTGGCGCGATTGTCTTATTCCGGCAGCCGTCCATAGCTCCATGAGCTTTTCAGAAGTTGCCAAATCTTGTGTGACTGGAGCGCATTAGTGCTGAGACAAACCTTGTATGTTTGTCCAAGTTGTTTCTTAAAGAGGAACAATTAAGAAGGTTGTTACAGTGAACTACCAGGACTCCTTTTAAAATGCAAACCGCAAATGCTGTATTCATTCACTTATTCACTCACCCAAGCAATCATTCATTCATAAATCGAGACTGACCGTCTGGAAAGTGCAGAGGTCCCTGGCTCTAGGCTGCGTCCACACTGAAGCCGCATCCTTGTTGCTAGTACGCTGGTAAGGCTTTGTACTGGTATGACCTGACGCCTGACCAAGTCACTCTTATGATCCCTCCTGCTTCAGAGTCCTCGAATTTGTATGAAAATACTTAGAAAAAGTCAAATAGTAGATGCTACGACTCATTCCAAAATGCTGAGAACCATTTCCAGAAAGTCCTCCATTAGATCATACAGTCTAAGCTTATTCTGATCAGCCCCAAAGCAAATGCCCTTTGACACCACTTCTTCATTGTTCGCTGCTTCTCCACGGCTCTTGTCAAGCATTGTCAGAATCGAAAATGAAGTGCAAGTAGAGCTGAAGTGTTCTGTCGGACGTAGTAGAAGTACTCATGGTGTGTGTGTGTGTGTGTGTACAAGAGGGAGACAGAGTGTGTTTCCATGTAGAGAAAAGAAAATGTTTCAACATCTCTTGCA